AGCATCTCAGTGGGACCGGAAAGATCAAGGCTGGATTTTCCATCAGCAGTCAGAGGTGTAACGCCCCCCCTCCGAGGCACTGAGTGGAGCTAACACATGATTTATGTGGAAAACCAGACTCAGGAGGTGTAGCTTTTGCTCTCCTCTACCTCCAAATGGGATGCCTCTTGAAAACTAACGTCTGCTAAATTTCCGATCCACTATTAGTTTAGTGGCAAGTGTAAGAGTAAAGCAGACCAAAAGCTGTAATATCGCCATCATTTCTCACTATGCTCATGTCATTGGTACATTGAAAGGATAAATACTCTTTCACTAAAAATAAATGAACTAAACAGAAAGAAAGTTAGCAGGTTCAACAACACCTCTTGAACAGTTTTTGATGGACATGCAGCTTGAAGTACCAAAACACTGCTAAGAATGCTATTTATTTATCCTTCATTTTAAGGATTTAGCAACTGTCTGCAGGACGTCAGTGACGACAGAGGGAACATCAATACTGAGCCGCAGTGTCATGCTATTCCGTCGCAGAGGTTGAAAAACGCATACTTTTGTGTCGTGTGTTTGGACGTTTGACGCAAATTTGCGCACTTTCACCTAAATTCGTGCAATTTTGCTGTGAACTAGACGTGCCGCGCTATTGCAAATTCGCACCACTCAGGTCTCATTGCGTCTGTGCATAGACTTTGTATGTAATCCTGTGGCACAAATCAAATGTTTCCTCTGCAACGATTCTCTCCCAATGCAGGGCCAAGAGTAATGCCAACATCTGAATAAACGTCAAGGATGACACTGTGTACCGCATTCCAACAGCTTTTTTTTGGGGACTAAAAAACACAACCCCCAATTTTTGGATGGTAAGGATCTTTTGATCCATTACTAGATATGCAAATACTGTTAGGATCCTTGTCTGACCCGTCCTGTCTTTTGCCTCTGACTAGTCTTCCTCCCTCATCCCCGTTTGTTTTGTTTTGCCATGTGCTCGTTGTCGGTGTGTTCTTGGTCCCACCTCCAGACGCCGCCCATTGCCACACCCCCAAGCAGGACAGAGCAGACAGATAAGGACTCGTCAATGGCAATTTCAACCCTGGTCCTGCAGGCTTGGGTTGTCAGTCCATTTTATCTTCTTCCCCGGTAGTCACCACTGTCAGTATGCGCGTTACTGACTTCCTCTCTCTCTCCATCTGTTGAGTTCCAGTGCTCCACTTCTCTCCAATGTTAAGCCACGGGACTCACGTTGTGATCCGCCTACCTGCCTCCGGTGTTGAGCCTCGGGACTCACACAGTCAATTGTCTTTTTGGGGCAGCGAATAAAGTTGGTTGGTTGCATTTGGGTCCTAATTCTTGTTCCCCCGTGACAAATACTTGGAGTAGTGCTCCCCTCAATGTACAAAGCTACCTTCCCTCCTTCTAATTTATTAAGCTCTAGCTAATATTCTTATTAGTATGTCCTTTGGAATTAATGGAGATATTGTTCTGCTAAACTTAATAATAATTTTTGGCTTCTCAGTCCTCTGCATTGTTTCCAGTGCTCCTGCAATGCTTCTCTAGAAGGCTGTTGTCCTTTATGTCCTCTGGGGTTAGCGGACGAATGGAAAGAAAGACATCTTAGGCTCAATTTCATGGATATTGATTTTTTTTTTTTAACCGTTCATTGTTTCTTATAAAAATAATAACCTGTTTAGGAGGTGGAACTTTCTTTTAACGGTTGTGGCCAAGCATCACACCTCCAATTTAGGTTCTGCTGCCTTTTTCTCTCAATTGTATCTGAATGATATTTAGGAAGTTTGCTCAGGGCAGGTAACTCATTCAGATTTTTGTTTTAGTTTTGTTTTTTCCTGTGTGGTTTAGCCTAAGGACGAGCATTTGGCGAAGATGGTGTAATCCAGAGTTTGCTATGATCTATTTTAGTAGGGCTACAGTTGTCTGAAAGGAATGACCTGACCTTTAATGTACAGGGAATTTCTGCCTGAGTAGCTTTTGGTAGAGATTGACTAGTGATCCATCCTTTCTCATCATTCTGCTGTCACGCACTGATTTTACAGTCCTGCTCTGCAGTGTGGATGCACTACACGAGGAGCTCGTCCTTAGATCCGGTGCCTATGGAGATACAGTGCAGTGAACAAGATAGGAAGTTCACTAGGAACAACAGAAACATGTGCTGATACATACTGCCAACAGCAGCATCTGCAAGCACATTTTGGCTTTGGATAATTGCTTTTTTTTTTAAAGAAAAAAATGTAACACACAGTGTGTGCTGGAAGATGGATAGAAACAAGCAGGAGAACAGGGTAAAGCATCCAGCTGAAAAATACCTGTAATTCATACACTCAAATATTGTCTTGACAATAAAAATTTATCGAAAGATAAAATGAGTTCCATATAACTTCACTAGCGCAATTCCTATGCTTTTTCAGTGGCTCTAAGCTTCAACCTATGACTATCTATCCACTGAAACCTAGAAAGTAAAGGGCACTGACCATATGTTTGTATTTAACGAGCTGAAAGTGAGATTCAGGAGACCCAAAGCCCCCAATGTAAATCTTCCCAGTACTCCATTAAGAGGAATTTATCAACATTATTAGATAAAACATTAACATCCAGCTTCCTCTTCCATTCCTATACCTTCTTTAGCACGTTCCTTACTAATGACAAGCCTCACACAGTAGACTATCACTTTTTGTAGTTCTCTCCATCTCATCTCCTACGCTCAAGCATCCACCATCACCTAGTCACTGTCTAGTCACACTGTCTTTCTTGATGAGTGATGGCCTGGGCCAAAGAATGTAACACCCTCCCTGTCTGTCCCTTATTAGCGTTCCCTACTTACTTTATGTCTGGATTTCTCTCATGGTATGATAAGATGGGTCAGCACAGCGCTGCTGCAAGCCAATCCATCTGCATGCCAATAAAACCTGGACCCGCTCTCCACTGCAGAGGCGAACCGGCCTCTCTGCTGTGTGTGACGTGCTTTTAGCGTGTGATGGGGCTGGAAACAAAGCGACTGACTGGGTTTGTGTGTAAGATATTAAAAGGGGCACGTGAAAATGTCTGTTATAATGCAATGGATGGACCGTTACTTCCTGTCGTTACTGCTTTATTTTTGTTATTTAAACCACGTTGATTTTTTTCTGTTTCAAATCAATTTTCTGTCATAGATCTTCTGACAAGACCTGTCAAAGCTTCAGCAGGCTTCTCATTTCTAGTTGACAGACACGTATTTTGTCGGCTTGAATGCTAAAAGGACAACTGTTGCTGGCAGCTCAACCAACATCATATTTTAACACTCTAATAGTGTCACGGAGCAGGGGGGGTTGCCGGAAGGAGGACCGAAACGTAGAGTTCCAAACAAAAAAGGTACTTTAATAATCAAAATCAAACATGCAGAGGGGGAAAAACACAGACACGTACAGGGACCAGGAACTCACAGGTACGGGAGCCACATGGAACGACATTCAAGATACTTGGTAAGACAGACAAGAGACACACAGGGCTTAAATATACTGGGAAGGTGCAGGTGATTGGACACAGGTGGAAACAATCATGGACAGGGGATGACAGGACAAAGCAGGAAGTAAATTGAACCCAGGGACACAGGAGGCATGAAACTACAAAATAAGACAGGAAGTAAACCCAAACTGTAACAAATAGTGCACTTCTGTACTTTCCTAATGAGAATGTGTTTCGAAGGCTGAACATTTGGTAAAAAGCCTCTGAATTAGAAAGTGTCTTTGAAGTTGGCAACCTTTGGTTGTTCATTATAAGAATAATCAGTGTAGCCTATAATGGGAAAAAATGATGGAGGGATCTACGAGGACAGGCATTGATTTAGAGAAGCGTGTACTGCTGTTGCTTGATCAAAACGGATTCGTTCAGAGCCTTGACTCCACCATATTTATGTGACAGCTGGACTTACCTGTCTGCAAAACATGTTTTCATGAAGAAATGTAGCACATGCTTAAACATGAATCATTTTTCCTCCCTGACAAGTAGAGATGGATGTTGCCACTCTACCTTAATCCGCGTAAGTAAGAAATTATATGGAAGCACAATTTAATTGGCAAAAGATTAATGAACTTCCCCACAATCTGTGATTATACAGCACACAAGGATATAGTGCTATAAATCTACTGGACCTTCAAGAAGGCATTCACCCTCCACCTAAATATGGGGGGTTGTTAAGTGTGTACCACTCTGGAAGTAAATCTGTGTCTTTTTTCTGCTAGAAGAATTTCTAGCACTGAATATTTATGCATTGAAATCATGTATCTGAATGTTTTTCAACGTTAAAATATTCAACTGCAAATAATTCAACCGCAAATAATATTTTATTTTTTTATCTATTGGTAGTTTACATGACATAACATTTTTTTTCTCTTTCCTAGGAACTGCTGCTTAATCACCTGTTAGAAAGACTTCGCTCTCGATTGGAAAATATTTTGGGACGCATGCCTCTAGATCTGGACTTCTTAGAGTTCACTTGCACACAAAAATTTGTGTTTTTAAATGCTGTATCCTCTCAGGTAGCTGTTTTTCCAGCAATTTTAGATGCACTTACTCAGTTGCACAGTCTTATAAACATAGAAAAAGAAAAAAGTAAGCAACATATTGCCGTTGTGCAGCATGAGGACGGACCAGCTGGGCGACAACGAATGGCCATATCCCCAGACTACCTATGCAACCTTCTTGAACTTAATCTGTCTGCCCCCTGTATCGCTAAACTCATGGGGATTTCCAGAAGCACTGTGTACCGGCGCATGGCTGAGTATAATCTCTCAATAAAGGAACTATACAGCACCATGACAGATGAAGAGTTAGACCAGTGTGTGAGAGAGATTAAATCCAGACAGCCTCATTCTGGATACCGAATGGTGAAAGCACTTCTGCAAGCCAGAGGACTACGGGTTCAGTATAACCGTGTCAGAGCTTCCATGCACCGTGTTGACACCACTGGTGTCATCTCCCGTATGCTCCATTTAGGATGCATTGCTCGACGGACCAACTCAGTTCCAGGACCCCAGTCTTTAATTCATATTGATACAAACCATAAATTAATACAGTAATTCTTTTCAAATAATGTTTTTGACAAAATGCAAATGAATTAAGAGTATGTTAGTCCTTAAGCAAAGTTATTCTGTTCTGAGCGTTAACACTATTTCTTACTTATAGTTATTACGTTCTATACAGTTGACAAATTCAGCATTTTTCTTGCAGCTACAACATTGTTATCTTTGGTGGGATTGACGGTTTTTACCGCAAGGTAAGCACAGTTGTCAGGACAAAGTGTACACATTTTTATAATCATTAAATAGTTAAACGTCAAATAGAAAGCCACTTCTAGTGGTTTTGCTCTCTTGGCAGGAACAAGATTTGCTGCAGGAAAGCGCCTCTTTCCTCTGGCCTTGGTAAACATACCTGGGAAGGACCTGTAGAAAACAAGTTAAGTTTTTTCTTACTACATTAAAAGGTTGACAAAAAGGCTCTTGCATGATAGATGAATATAGAAAAACTTGGCATTCTACTGCATACTTTCATCAAGTGTTACGGGCATTGATTTAGACCTTTGAAACCTATGATCATTTCTTATATAAATTTTCTTTTTTACTGAATGGTCACAAAAATGAACACCTACATTTCGATGGCTGCAATATTAGTAAGAAGCTGATAATGCTACACAATGCTATGTCTATCATTACTTACTGTAGGTAGCGGGTGGAGTTTTGACTGTAAAAATTGACATCATTACAAAGTATGTATACATAAACTTGCATTTGAAATAGCAAATTTTTCTTTACCTGGTCATTTCCATTTGAACTGAGGGTCTTTCTGGCTGAAGGGCTGAACTCCCATCTTCACACCCCCGCCTCTGTTCTCTGCCGGATTGGATCCGAAAATATACATTAAGCCTAATCATCAACATGTATAGAATGTATAAGTAAAAGTAAGCCATATGTACATGAATTGCAGTTTAATACAAAACCTCATATCTTGATTGGTGTCATCGGCTCCCCGGTGTCTCTCAGAAAAGGTTACTAAGTCTAATAATCGCCTTGCTGACTCAACGATATCTTCCTGACTAAAGTTACCCTGTAATCACAAATACAGCACAGAAAAAAACCCGTAAGAAGGATATTACAAATCAGTAGTACACGTATAATATGCATGATTTTAAGATAATCGGACAGGCAATATCCTTTGTACTAAGTTTGGATACAGCACCAGAATCATATCCAGCATGAGCTTAGCGGCCAGGGCATTCTTCTGATAATTGATCCATGCTGTAGGTGGTACGGGACACCTTACCCAAGATATAGTCGGAGTTCTCATAACCCGGTTACCAGCTTCACGCACGTGGTTACCAGACCAAGAGAACTCCATCAGTACCCCGGTTATTCCTGCATGTACTTTCGGGGTTATGCGCCTGCACACGCTCCGCTAAAGCCGCTGCCCCCCCACTACGCTGCAGCGGCTCCTATGCGCTCTACAAGCACGTTCCTGGTTTCAAAACTCCGCCAATCACTCCTAATAGCTTGTCGAAGCATCACAGCATCATTAACTTAATTCAAAACTAGAAGAAAATGCGTATTCTGACCAGCTGTATGCTCTCGTTTAACTTCCGCTTCATGTCCTATACAGTCTGTTAATGAACAAATGTTAGCTGTCTATTACTGAACCTTACAGACACAAACCACACTGATGGCATAAAGTTAAAGTTAAAACACTCACCGAAGCCCCATTGTTAACGGACATGGCTAAAATCCGATCATCATGCTAGCCGACAGCCGAAGTTGTGTTGACGCACGCTTCCGATCTTAAATCTAGAATCGATTGCTCTTCCTTGGGTTCCCGGATGTTGCGGTTGAATTTCTTTGCATTGAATTATTTGCAGTTGAATTATTTGCGGTTGAATATTTTAACGTTGAAAAACATTCAGATACATGATTTCAATGCATAAATATTCAGTGCTAGAAATTCAATCACCTTTTTCTTTCAAAATCCGATGACACAGATTTACTTCCATATGGACCTCGCATCATGATTCTGGTAGTAGAAAAACCACAACCCGCTTGCAAGGCCCTCCTCTAACAAACCATGTCACTAAGATAAGTAATCAGACTAATCATTATTATTTCATGTCTGCGATTAGGCTTTTCCCTTGCTCAGCATTTCTGTCTATTTTCTTAAGACACCTACTGGTTTCAACAGCAATAGACTTGCGTACATGCTTACAGTTGCTGATAGCTTCCAACATTCTCTATATGTTGTATCAGCACTTTTAAACATTAAAGACAGGTCTGAAATTTCAAAATGTCAGCAGCCAGGGGCAACAACCCTCTGAAGACTTTATTTTGCTGACAAAAGAGCCATGGTTATTATTTTCCAAACCTGATATCACACATTCACACGTGAAAAGTATCTTAACAGCATAGTGATGGTAACAAATAGTGTGTTGACATTGAGATACCAGCGCCGTGGAAACATTGTCAATGTAAAGTCAATTGGAATATTTTGGTATGGTTGACACACACGTTTCCATGTTAACCAGATAGGTGTTTTGTTCGTAGTTGGCAGAGAAGATATCCGAGTGAATTGGTCTAACACTGGTCCAAATTCTCTCACCCAAACCAGTTAAAACTTCAACAACTCCACTCAGTCCCCCTCCACACACATCCGCAACCTCTAAGTCATGTTTGACAGCAACCTCTCCTTCGAACACAATGTCAAACATATCACTAGAACTGGCTTTCTGCGCCCATCACTCTCCACATGTGCTGCCAAAACTCTGATCCATGCCTTCATCACCTCTAACCCTCACCCGAGACTGCACTGACCTCTCCACATTCAAACCACAAATCAAAACCCACCTCTTCAGAACAGCTTTTACTGTATGACTGTGTGTGTTCCATTTGCTTGATTTATTTAGTTATTGCTTAGCTTTTAGGATATTTTAAAAATGTAATCTCATAATCTCAGGAAAAATCCCAATATGGAAATTGAGATTCCAAAACCCACCCACAGATGGTACCAACCAAGAGAATGAGACAGATCTATACAATTTAACCTTTTAAGCAACACTGATGAGTGTAACTCAAATTCCCTTGTAGGGAATCACAAACAACGTGCTCCGTTGATTTTGGAAGGCTTGACCTTTTGGTGTTTAACAATCTATATGTAAAAGATATCCTACGGTTTAACACATTGAAGCAATAAATGAAAGACTCTCGCCCATCAGAAGTTTATTGTAGATTATCACCTAATGAAAGATGTTCGGATGCAACAATGGGTACAGTATCTCTTTGCCCCTATTTTTCAGATATTACATTATATGAAAGCAATACGCAAACAGATTAAATACTTTGAGTTGCCATGGAGGAGGAACGGAATGACACATGCCGATGTAGATAAAAGCGCCAAAAGGAATTAAGGAGAGTGGGTAGGGAGCGCATAGGAGGTGTGTCCTTCCTCCAGGAACTTTCCCTATTGCTTCATGACCTCCTTTCCTGTAGATTTATAGCAGAGCTGTCCTGAACTCTTTCAGTGTCAGCTTCAATTCAGTATGATTTATTGGTACGAATAAAGCAATTGGCGACATGCATTTTCTAGAAATGATAATATAGTAGGATACATCTAACAGGAATAGGACCAAAAAGGACACGATTCATATTACAGTCAGAGTTTCCATCATTAAGTGACTTTGTGGCCAATAAAGTGTCCATGGAAGAACAAGGGGATTATGAAATAATCGGACCGGGCACAAATATATAAAAGGCCCACAACCTCTACACAGGAGCAAGAGTCTTTGTAATAATTTAGCCTCTTTTTGTTGTTATGTGTGTCTTTGTAGTCGCTGCCCATCTCTGTGTTATTGTGAATATTTGTGGTACTTTTGTGCTACATTTCGTTTGGTGTTTTTGTAGTAGGGGAGGGTAATAGGGTGAACGAGTAGTAGCGGTAACCAAACGGAACATCAGCACTCTATGCCATCAGTGTAAAACGAATCAATATAGAAAAACAACGAGCCACTCATCCATCAGAATCGAGGGAACAGTCACAACCATTCCACACATTGTTCATTACCTTACTGGATGACTTGCACTGATTGGAGTCAGCCTGGGTCGCTTTTGAATGAAATGAAATGTGTCTGTTAGTAAGCAAGAATTGCGAATTAGTATTTGTTTCCGTTAACTCCCACGGTCGGCTGCGCATGCGTGAATTGGTTTATTTATCAATGACAGGCGATCTACTGACACTGCCTTGGCAATCAAACGGTCAATCGCGATCGACCTAATGGGCACCCCTGCTATGAACTATCCGCTGAAAAAAAAGGCTGGATTTCATCACAGGTATGTTAAAAAAGTTGCAAAGAAGTCAGACCTCCTAGATTATAGAATGGTGAACATGTTTTTTCACCGTTTGAGACAATTAGTTTCTAAGGAGCCACCAACAGATCTAAAATCCAAGGATAAAAACACAACAGAAAAAGAACCAGGCATGAAAACGGGTCAAGGGTGAAAAAGGTGAGAAGGATATTACCCCTCTAGGGCTGGTTTTGTCCCAGGGATCATTTTTTGCATACCGACGAGGGGGGGGAATTGACAACAACTAATAGGGGACAAGGCATTATGTTGCATTGCATATAATGTGTGCTGGTCAACTAGTCGAAAATTAGTTTGACAAATTTTTTGCGTAGTTTAGAGTGACAAATCGTACCAGCGTACTTTGAAGTCAGAATGCATATCAGGTTGGCAGGTCTGCTTATTGATAGAACGGTGGACCACTTTACCTTCTGCCTTGTCAGTCCCCTCACCTCAAATTCTACCTCCTCAAAAACGGTAGCGTTAGCTAATAATTTTTCACCGGAGTTTTAGCTAGCTGGCCAACGTCGCGTTCTCTCCTGCTGTGTTAAATGAATCAATTCAACAAGCTGTAGCCAATGTTAGCTAAGTCTATGTCAACAAAGCTCCTGGGTAATGTAGGATATTAGAAATAAACTGACGACCCGGTTCATAAAATTAATTAAAAAAATACAGCCATGATTCTGAAACTGTACTGACTCTGTCCGTCCGGCGTTTCTTCATTTTTGACATGACACAGCAATTTGGTGACCCCAACGTGATGAGGAGCGATGGACGGAAGGAGGAACAGCTGATCTGAACAAAGAGCCCAGCGATCGATTTTCTTCACTCACACGGCGCCCTTCGAAAAGGTAACTGGCAACCAGTTGTTTTAAAACCGAAATGCTGTATAGTTTATCATAGAACATTTAGGTGTGAGTGGACAAAATACGATGTTTTGAGGTAAACTAAATTTTAGAGGAAATTCTTCTCAACTTTGGATAAAGTTGTGATAAAAAGCACATTGTGTGTGTGTTTTGTTTGGACGTCTTTGTGTGTGTTACCGACAAGGTTCGATTTTGTAGCGTTAACGTTAAGCGAATGGGTGGCGTTAATTAACCGATCGGTCATAATAAGGAATGAGTGAAAACCTAGTATAGGCCTCAACCGGATGAGGGAAAAAGTATCGCAACTTATAGATTGGATACGTAATGCACTGTGTATAATGTTCTAACAGAGTTAAAGACCTACGTGGCGCATCGGGACCGTGATCGTGTTGCCGAGCAAAGGAGAGGGATGAGGTTCGGCGTTCAGTGGCGACTAGCGGTTGTCTCAATAAGCCTCTTTTAGACTATGTTAGAAATCACAATAAATTAAATAAAGTATAGACTAGACGACGGCTAGAAAGCAAGATTAAAATTCGGAGCCTACGAGGCTCCGTCAAATTTGCGGAATAATTGTGTGCAGAAACAAGACATGAGTCACGGGGACTCGGTCAGCATTTAATTAAATTGAATTGACGCAGGGGGCAAAATTAATGGCAAATTTACAATACATTAGAGATCGGTGAATAACGTTGCGAACTTGTATATAATTGTATGTTACATGTTTAGAAAAAAATGAAGCCGGATTAAGGATTTGATGGTGGCCTGGTTTTGGGGAAAACGGAGCACACATGTTTTTGCACCTGTTCGCAGTTCACTGAATCTCGCGCTCCTGTTCGCAGTTCACAAAGGTCACCTATTTTGGTTTCAAAACGGCGAATTTCCCCGAAAGGTGAGGGATTTTCATGCCTGAAGGACAAATCGCATGAATAAAATGCTTTGCAAGGTGTCCGTAGCAGCGTGTCTGATGTTATGGCTGTATGCCCCTTTGTCAAAAAGGTGCATTTTTCAGCAGTATCTTCTTTGGATTATGATGGGGTGTCTGCAAAAAATGGCTAAGAACGTATAATACACC